CTGGGCCTCTCTGGGGAGCGTTTTCCCAATTTCCATCGGCATGGCGTTTGCCGCACCCGAACGTCGCATTGTTTGCATTGATGGTGATGGATCCTTCCAAATGACAGGTTCGGAGCTCTGCACACTGCTGCGGCACAACCTGAACTTCCTCCTGATCATTCTGAACAATGCGGGTTACACGGCAGAGCGTGCCATCCATCCTGACCGGGACGACTCTTACAATGACATCCATGTGTGGAACTACCACTTGTTGCCCCAGGCATTGGGTGGTCGGCCGGATTCGAACGGTGTGGATGCCCACACGGAGGCTCAGTTCGTCGATGCCCTGTCGTCATATCGTGGAAAGGGCCTGCAGGTGGTCAATGCACGGCTGGACAAAAATGACATGCCAAGCTTTTTCATCGAGATGAGTGACATGCTAAAGCACTGAAGCTCTCTGAAACTTGCAGAGATGGCCGCAAAAGGATGTGAAGGTATCCTCTTGCGACCGAGCCTGCGCCGACGATGCCGCAGTGCTCAGGCCATGGCCCTGGCTCAGCTTCCCCGCTGTACAGGAAGGGGGACTCTGTCTGGCCATTTGCGGTGATGTACAGATGGCGCGTGATGAGATCGCCCTGGCGAGTGATCCCGAAACCAAAAGCACCTCTCCAGTAACCAGCGCGGCTCGTAAAGCATCCAATAGCTCTGAACCCTGCAAACTCTGCAAACTCTCTATTCACTATGCGCCCTGAGCGAACTGCTGATGACGGACGATGCTCAAGATGACGGTGATAAGAGTCAGGATCATGATATAGATGTCAAGCAAGGCAACAGTTTTCGTCAGAGCAATAACAACATGACCAACCGTACGAGTAGAAGAAACACTGAAGAGGACGACACAAGGGTTCCGGACAGCAAGCTCGACCTGCGCAAAGCGCAAACCCTGGTTCATGGCCATATCATTTTGGAGGCTCACATGTGTTTTGGAGTGGGGTAGAAGTACAACGAGGGGGCACAGAACTATGCTGGTTGCCCGTTGAAGTTAGCTGTCCCGTGTCATCTTGTCTCTGCCAACACAGAAACCTCGAGACCCAAATCCCAAAGTGAGAACCTCGAACCCCAAAGCACTAAACCCTAAACCCCAAAACCCTAAAACCCCAAAACCCTAAACTCTAAAACCCTAAACCCTACAACCCGGTAAAGCTCGAAGCCTCTAGCGCCCCACGGCTCGGATCCCGTGGAGGATCCCGCGATTGAGCTCATTGTGGGCATGCACACCGGAGGCGAGCCCCTCTCTGGGCCTTAGGGTTTAGGGCTTATGGGCTTTGGGGTTTAGGGTTTAGGGCTTGGGGTTTAGGGCTTGGGCTTTAGGGTTTAGGGCTTAGGGTTCAGGGTTTAGGGGTTAGGGCTGGGGGTTTAGGGTTTAGGGCCTAGGGTTCAGGGCTTAGGGTTTAGGGCTTAGGGTTTAGGGTTCCTGCGGTGTAGGGCTTAGGTAATTTAGGGGATTTAGGGTTACGGTGATTTCGGTGGGTTTTCAACGGGGTTTTGGGGTTTTACGGGTTTGGGGGTCTAGTCTAGGGTCTTAGGGCTTAGGATTGCGAGTTTGTCAGGCTGGCTCTAAGCTGAAATTGCTGTGTACGGGGTCGACCGGTGCACGGCTAGTGCTGTTGGTGTTTTGGTGCTGCGGCTTTTTCATATGGGTAGTTCTCTAAATTAGGGTCCCTTTTGAGGTCCCCAATACAGTACGGCACCTTCATGAAAAGGACCCTCAAAGGGACCCTAGTTTAGAGAAGTAAGTACCCATATGGTAACCCGAAGCCTAAGCCTCAACCCCAGGTTGCTTGACGTCTGGAAGTCTCGGGGGAATGAATGCGCGTGAAAGGTTGTGCTTCGCCGGTTTTCTGAGGGGCCTGGGTAGTTTTGCCCAAGGAACCTTAGACCCCTAAACCCCTAAACNNAAACCCTAAACCTTAAACCATAAACGCGATTGCCCTCCACAGGTCTCGACATCGTTCATTTGCCTGGTGGCCAGACACCTACCGCTCAAGGTTCAGGTTTAGGGTTCAGCGTTTCCGTATAGGGTTTAAGGTTTAGGGTTGAGGGTTTCGGCTTAGTTCTAGCTGCTAGCTGCAACTTTTGATCCCTTTTTTGTTAGGGCCCACGCAGAGCCCCAGCGACGAAGCCCAAGCCCTATGCTGAAGCAGCGTGCGCGAGATGAAGACTCCAATCACATGCAACCAGCAACAACCTGTAGCCAGCAAAAGATCGACTAAGCACCAACAGCAGCAACCCTAAAGAAGCGCACCCATCGGGCTGTATAGCCCTACACCCTCCTAAACCCTAAA